TGTTCAAAGTACGGTGTACGGAGAGACATTTGTGTTCAAAGTACGGTGTACGGAGAGACATTTGTGTTCAAAGTACGGTGTACGGAGAGACATTTGTGTTCAAAGTACGGTGTACGGAGAGACATTTGTGTTTAAAGTATGGGGTACAGAGAGAAAATTGTTACGATATTATTAGAAACAAAGGACATGTTTCAAAAATAGAGCTATGACAAACTTTATCTTAAAAAAGAATTTAGAATAAATAATAATGTGTTTGCCAAATTTTAACCAATATTTATAAAGTTTGTTATTTTTCCAGATATTATTTTTCTTTCACATTTTTGGTGGATGAGTTTCCTAAATGACATTCTTTTATAATCTACAGATTTCAGGATGTACCCTTAAGGGTGGCCTGAGTCTGGACCAATAGAAATGCTGCTCTATCCACAAGTTGTTGTTTTTTTTTCGATAATGTTTTATTACAACTTCTGGTAGAGAGAATTAAAATCCAGGTGAGGTTCTCATCGTGTGAAGATCAACAGGATCAGATACGGATCAGCGGTTCCACCTTCAGGTGTAGAGGATGTAAAACTTTATAATCTGTAAAACTGTAAAACCAAATTAAAATCTGGAAAAAAATATAAAAAAACACAAAATTGAAGAACAAAAACAAAACAGAACTCATATTTTGATACGCAGTTCCTTGCCTTTGATATTACTTGAAATAAATTTCTCTCCATATGCTTGCTAAAGAAGTTAATTTGTTGATAATTTAATCCTTTTCTGTTTAACCTTGAACTGTGTCTTTAATATAACTGTTAATTGTTTTACTTTAGGGAAATAAAGGAGAAGCAAAGATGGTTTCCATCATTTCATGTTTTTCTCTGGTTTTCTCTCCGTACAGCAACACGTGTTCAGGACTCTGGAAAACGATCCTCTGTTCGCCCGTCAGCCTGGAGAAGACGTTCCTATAGAGAAGAAGAGAGAACTCAATTTTCTCAGGTTTGTTTTCATGCCGAACTGTGAAACTAAAAAGGTTCTTTTAAGGTTCGATCCAATATGTCTGCCTGAAAACGTTCAGGGTGAAGCAGCTGTTTCGCTACAACTTCCTGACTGAGGAGGAAATGATGTCGGATCCATGGAAGGCGGTGATACTGGAGGACTGTCTGGGGATGTACGACTGGGCCATGGTGGCCAAGTACGGCCTGAACAAAGGGGTGAGATGACCTTTGACCTCAGGCTGCAAATATAATCGTTTCTTCTTCTTCATAGAATATTTTTGCTATTTATGCATTGATTCCACCCCAGCAATTAGTCAGTTGGGGCTAATGGAATTTAGCAGTCCAATCTTGGGAAATGAAAGCAGTTTGCTAACTATATTTAGCTGCAAAA